TCTCAGCTCCCCTTCAGGTGGACTTGGGGTCTGGAGGGACACTGACGTCTTGGGCTTGGAATGTGGTACAGGCCTGTTCTCCATTCATTTTAGCTTCCAGGATTATTCTCCCCCCAACACACACACACACACACCATTTTCATCAGCCACCATCCCCCAAATCAGGCCTGAGTGACAGATGGAGGTGAAGGAATCCACAGTAGAGAGGGGGTCACAACAAAGTCACAGTCTGTGACCCTCAGCCCCAGTTCTACCCTGGCCTGCAGCCCAAGCTGGTAACCCAGCAAACTGCCTAGTGATTCTGCTAAAATTCATGCAGCCCTGGTGACCCTCTTGTCTGGATAATTTGACCCTGGAATGGTCCAGAGATAAACTAGGATCTGTGCTTACAACACCTCAAATTCTAGCTGCTGCGTTGTGTTTGTCTTGTTCTAGAAGGACAGTTGGGGGACCACGATGTCCCTTTGCATATCTGGAGCAAACAGCCTCGCAGTGAATTTTTAAATCATGTCGGATCCTTCCAGGGCAGACTGGAGCCTCATGGTGAAGAAAGGCGGTAACTAAGAAAGGCAGAGGGGAGGCCTGGCTGGTGCTCCAGGTGCCCAGGAGTCTACAGCTGCAAAGGTGACTCACTCCTGTGGCAGGCATCTCCTGTTTCTGTTGTCCCCCAAAACAGGTGACCAGATGCATTTTAAATGCCAGCACTGCTCAAAAGAGGCCACATGGAAAGAAAATCTACCAGCTACACCTTTAAATAAGGCTAGGAGCAAATGGCAGCTTGACTCGGGGAATTTAGGGCCTTCTGGAGGCAGAATAGGCCAGAATGGCCCTGATTCCCCGGCTTTTTGTTTTGTTTCCAGGGGTCTACAGGAGGGTTTTGGTTTTTTTTTTCACAAATTAATAAAGGAAGCCAAATTGAGGGTTCAAACTCAGGCAAGGTGGGAATGAGGTTGGCCAATCCTGGGGCAGGGTACTCCCTCCACTCTCCACAAAAGGTCTCAGGCTGCAGGAAGTAACTGCCATTGGAACCCGGGACGCGGGCTGTTTCTCACCAACACTGCAGACCTTCAAAGTGACCACTTCCCGGGACTCTCACAGATGAGCAGTTTCTGGGTGCTCCGGCCCCTGGAAGGCCTACATCGAAGGTGCCCTTCCCCACCACCTCCTCTCCTCCCTCTGGCCGGCTGGATGCAACTCGGGACAGCTGCAGCCAGCGGTGCTCACCCTGGCCCCCAGCCTCCGCCTTCCCCACGCCCAAGGGCAGCTGGGAGCCGGGAAGAGAAGCTTCAGAAACCTAGCAGCGGCCTAAGGATGACCTGCCCCAGCGTCTCTGTACCCCCTCCTCCAAGCGTGTCACTTGGCGGCCCCAATAAGGCAGACAGTGCGCCCCACCGCGGAGACCAGGGGCTGGTGGCCGCGGGCAGTGGGTGATGAAACCTGCCCTGCGCGTTACTGCACAGGGCGCGGGCGGGGCGCGGGGCGGGGTGGGGGTGGAGAGCGGGTACCGGGCTCACCTGTTCTCGGAGAGGAGGGTGGGGACTAGGGGGAGGGGCGGGGGCGTGCCAACACCGGTGCGTGCTGGGTGGCTCTGGGTGGCCGCACTCGCTTCCCACCCTCCCCCATCCCCGTAGACCCCCGAGCTGAGCCGTCGGGTTGACGAGGCCAGGAGCAGTTCCTGTCCCCGGCCCCGGCGCGAGGGAGACGTGAGCGTGCACACGTACACACACAGCGGGGGCAAGAGGCGCTCCGAGAGGCGCCCAACTTTCCCTTGGCTTCCTCCAGGCGGGGAGAAGCAGCTGGGGGCAGTCTCATTCCCGCCGTGCTTAGGGAGGGGGGCCAGACAGGAAAGAAGTGATGCAGAGACTTTCCCCCAGATTTTGCTTTTCTGCTTGTTTTTACCACTTCCATCCGATGACTGAGAGTAGGGAGCCCAAGCGGGGCGGCGAGTGCCACTTTAGGAAAGAGAAGTGTGTGTTTGGAGACGCCTGAAGTTGTCTTTCAAACTTGGGCCTCTGCAGCACGCGAAGCTCCGCGGTGGCTGACTCAGGCTGCCTGGGCCTCCCGGGCCACCCGCCTGGAAATGATGCAAGTCGGGATTGTCACCTGGATCCCTGCAGCCCAGACTGGACTGGGGGAGGAACGAGACAGGATATTCCAGGTGTTGCACGACCCACCAAAAAGAAAGCGGGAGGAGGCGGCGGTTGCTCAGGGCAAATAACTTTAGTACTTCTTTCTGTTCCGGTCTTCAGTCATGTTTGGTTTTACTTTGTTTTAACGCAAAGCGTCTCACGCTAAGAATTCCCATGGGCGTTCAGTTTGCCCGCAGGACCACTGTGCACAGGTATCTCAGTTCCAACCTCTCAAGACCTCGGGGCTGCGGACCTTCCTGAATTCCAAACTGGAAAGAGGAAATTCGCAGCCTGATGAGGTTGTGACGCGAGTCAGGGACCCGGGTAACTCGGTCCCAGCGCGAACCGTCCCTTCTCACCCTCTAACTGCAACCGGAGCTGGGCTCCACTTTGATTTTTTTTTAAGTCTGTTCGGCCATTGCCTCGGAGCACCCGCACACGCGCACGCATCTCTGGCCGCGCTCACACACACACTCGCACACACGCACGCAAACGCTTGGCCGCCGCCAGGTCTGCAACTTTGTCGGGCGCTCCCAGCGGCGCTCGGCTTCCTCCTGTAGTAGTGGGGCGCAGGCCCCGCCTCCAGGCTGTGTTGTCAAACGGGCCAGGGTCTCGGATTGGTCCAACCGCCGGGACAACACCTGCTCGACTCCTTCATTCAAGTGACACCAGAGCTTCCAGGGATATTTGAGGCACCATCCCTGCCATTGCCGGGCACTCGCGGCTCTGCAAACGGCCTGGTCACATGCTCTCCGGAGAGCTACGGGAGGGCGCTGGGTAACCTCTATCCGAGCCGCGGCCGTGAGGAGGAGGGAAAAGGCGAGCGAGGAGGAAGAGTGGGAGGAGGAGGGGAAGCTGCGGAGGAGGAGGAGGAAGAGGAGGAGGAGAGGAGCACAAAGAACCCAGGTCTCCAGGCGGGAGGTTTATACCAAGAACCATGTGTGCTGAGCGTCTTGGTCAGTTTGTGACCCTGGCTTTGGTGTTGGCCACCTTCGACCTGGCGCGAGGGACCGACGCCACCTACCCTCCCGAAGGTCCTCAAGACAGGGGCTCCCAACAGAAAGGCCGCCTGTCTCTGCAGAACACAGGTAAATGCGTGCGCCCTTGCGGCCACGAGCTGCGGGAGAGAACCCTGTGCACCCACGCAGCGCGCCCTGGGCGTTTCGCCCAGAACCAGACGCCCACCCCCGGCAGCGCAAACTCCTGGGGTGGCGCGGGACGTGCAAAGGAAAGCGCAAGGCCAAGCTATGTCTGCGCCGGGCTCGGAGCGCCCGGAATCTGCACGTGCTAGCAGGGTGATGAAATGGCTGGGGCAGGACTTGTTGCTGTCCTCCCCCGGGGTTGAGGGGAAATGAGGCAGCGCCTGACGCTGCCAGAGGCAGCCTTCGAGTCTCGGGTCCAGTGCAAAGCGTACTTCTCCATTCCGGCTGGCCGGAGGGAGGCTCCGAGGGTCCCCGGAGCCGGGCTAAGCCCTGCATCGGGGAGAACCTCTCTTTTACAGCTGGCCAGCCGCGGCAGGACTGCTTCACTCCTTCCTCAAAAGATGCCCGATATCCCAGAACTTTGCTGGCTAGACGAATTGCATCGCGAACTTCCCCGCGGGGGCATGGCTTTTGAAAGGGATAGGGGTCGCGCAAAGCGTACCTCCGTGGTGCTGCCGCAGTCCTCGGTTCCTGGGCAGGTCAGCATGAGAAGAAATGGTGACAGGACCGAACCGTGCGCCGCCTCTGCTCGACCGGCTCTGTGCTCACCGGCGAGCTCTGAGCAGAGCAGAGCCAGGCGTGCGGGACACTGGGCTGGCTCTTTTCCCAGCTCCGGGGAGAGAAGGAAAATCGCCTAGAGCTCCTTCACTCTGCACCCAATCCCGCTGTGTTCTGGGGGGCTGTGCGAGCGCCGCAGAGTCAGCGAGCGTGCGCTCACCGCCCTAGCAGGAATGCGCGAATACCCACAGGGGACGCCCCAAGTGAGTGAATCGCTGCCCTGCGCCCTCCTTCCGGTTTGCGCCGGGGGTCCTCCTGGAGCCTCTCACCTTCACTTGCCAGGGAGGGCGCCCTCCACACCCCAGGACCCTCGCGGAACCCTTCCCCTTCTCCAGCGCTTTCTCTGGGAACTGAATCTGATTCTAGGTAGTTGGTGACCCTCCACAGATACACCCCTCATTCGCTAGAGGAATCAGAGTGCGGATTGTCTGCTCTGACTCCGCCCTTCTTCCAAAAGATACTTTTCTGATGTAATTTTGTGGTCGGTTTAAATCAGAAAATTGGGTAGGGGGAGGGAGGGAAGAGGCTTCCCGCCTGCGGCAGCCTGACAGTTAACTCCCCGGGTCTGTCCTTTCGGGCAGTCGAATTAGAAACACATTCTGCGAAGGAGGGCAGCAAGCGCTGGGGCCACGGGAATTCCAGAGGATTAAGTGATACCTCACACAGGATCCCTAATTAAGAGGAACCTCTAAGGGCGGACGGTGGACGGTGGCCTTCTGGCAGGCTAGCCAGGGTCGGACTCGATTCCCCGAGCCTGCCATCAAACCGCGGCTTTCCTAGCTTGGTATTTTTAATGCGGATGGTTTGGAGGCGCTGCCTTAATAGGAATTTTGTTTTGATTTTTAGGTGTTGAATCATAAAGCTGAATTGAAACTGCTTTGGGGACGCTCTCATTTGGGGGTTAGGAAGGAAATGACTGATTTAATAGCTACAACTTCTACAGATCCGAGTAGAGAAGGGTATTTCATTGATGAAATACCTTCATCTTAAAATCTTATTTTTGTCTGTGAGTTTAAAAAGCTGATATTAATATGTTTTCTGCTCTCAAACTACACGTTCCCACAAATGCTTTAATAAAATGGAAAGGAGCAGGGAGAATACTCAGACTTAATTTCTGATTCTGATTTTTATAATTTTTGGCTAATGTTTACAAATATTTACAAATATCACATTTTCTGTAAGTGGTATTAGTGATGAAATTTGGTTTCCCTGCTCTTCAGTTCTGATATGGTTATCACTGACTTTTTTTCCCCCCTTACATTTTCCTCTGGTCCTCACTGACTTTTCCTTCAGCTGCCCTGTCAATGTTCCCCAGCATGGCTGAGTTGTGTATATATTTGTAATTTTCATTTTAGCGGAGATCCAACACTGTTTGGTCAACGCTGGCGATGTGGGGTGTGGCGTGTTTGAATGTTTCGAGAACAACTCTTGTGAGATTCGGGGCTTACATGGGATTTGCATGACTTTTCTGCACAACGCTGGAAAATTTGATGCCCAGGTAAAGACCACACAGAGTGTGAAGCATGTTTCAGGTTAGCACAGTGCGATAGAAATGTTTGCTGGGAAAAGTCCTTAACAGACTCCTTAACTCCTTAACAGGTTTCCTTAGCTGTTCTTGGTGTTAATTTCAGGGCTTGCAAGAGACATTCCAGGTGTGAGCGGGATGCCAGGGTCTCCCCAGGGCACTGATGTCCTGCTGTCTTTATGTAGGTGAATCCTTCCACACTCTTAAGCTGTGTCTACACAGGCAAAGTGAGCCTGCATACCAGAATCATAGGAAATGATGGACACCTTGGAAGAGAGGACACATCGTTTCTGTTCACCCAGAACCTAGTCCCCAAAGCCATTGCATGAGGGACAGTAGGCTAAAGGGGCAGGGGCAGAGACCCCCAGTATTACATTCCAAAAGCTTTTTCTACCCAATAGGTGGGGTGGGGGAGGGGCAGGCAAACTGGACTCCTCAAAGCCTCCAAAAGAACAGATATTTATTCCTTCTAAGTAGCAGGCTCTTTTTTCCCAACCTGAAAAGTCAAAACCATGAATGAAACGCTGTGTTTTTCTCTTGTTCTATATAATAAATATGGCTAGGATCTGACCCAACTGAGATATTCTGGGGTCCCAGGTTCAAGCTAAGTTGCCACTCAGGGCAAGGACCTAACAAGCACCTACGACTCCAATGTCTACAACCCAAATAAACGCGTGCTCCTATGCACGAGGCACTAGGCCCCCCCACTTCATTTTCTCCCTGGTCCCAGGTGCCCTGTTGAGACGCCGTGTTACTGTGTATCATAAACTTCCTCTCCCATTTCTCTGGGGCACAGTGACAGCGCCTGAAGAGGCCACAGTGGAGGTGTGATTCATGCACATGGGCCGTCAGCAAGCCTGACATCCTGGAGGGCCTGACAGGGGCTGGGCCTGGGAGCCAGCCGGGAGGCAGCAGGCCCGCAGTCTAACCACAGAGGATGTGAGCTGGCAACAGGGGAAACAGACCAGGGAGGAAAGAGCACAACTTTGAACTCGAGGCTCCCTAATAACGTATCCCCCTTCTGGATTAACTGGAATTAGGAAGCGTAATAGGAAATCCGGAGGAAAGATGTGTGCGGAAGGGCAATCCCACAGGATGTCAGGGAAGAAGACCAGAACAGGTCGCTCTGGCCCTGGAGTGAATTAATCTCCCTTTTTTCCTCAACCAACAGGAGCATGTCCTCGTGTCCTCGAGTTAGAGATATCCCCACCAGTCAGTTCCCAGCACAGAACTAGTTAAGCTCTCTGTCCCGTCTGGCTCCTACTGGAGAGCTGCAGGAGAAGGGGCCACAGGGTGGGTTTTCAGCCCTCAGATGCTCTCTGGACGCATTTCAGTTGCTTCTAAAGAGAGAACCAAAATAAATGTGCTGGCTGGCTTTCCGTGTCCAACCTGAACCATTGACTGTGTCTCAAGTGGCTTCCCGGGTCTAAAACCCAGGGTGGCCTCTAGGACCACAGCTTGTTTCTAGAGTAAGGAAGGAGGCTGCCGGGAATCCTAGGTGGGCACCCAAGTGCCCCCTGCCCGGGACACTGATAAGGAAGCCAGGGCCGAGCTCCCTCCACAACCCCAACAGCTGGCTCCTTTCTAGGATAAGCGCAGCCCTAATGGGGTTGCCAGGGAGGAGAGCTGCAGGCCAGATGTATGTGGGCCTCTTGAGGCAGGAGCGTGGGGGAGGGCCACTCGGCTCAGATGCTGCCAGGCCGGGTGCCAGGCGGCCTTTTAGTGGCAAAAATCCTAACAGTTTAAAGGAGTAGAGTCATTTTTTGGAAGGGTAAAGAACGCTCCTGCTTGAAGGATAAGAGGAGGCCCGAGTGGAGCCAGAGGCCCTGAGGCAGGAAGGGAGGCCCGCGGCCTCCATCTTGGTGAGGCTCCTGGAATGGAAGAAGGTGCAGCTCGGCGGCCAGCGGGCACCTTCCACTCGGGAAGAACCCTTGCTGAGAACCACAAAGGAGTCATGGCCCAGTTCCCCGGGTGTTCCAGAAAAGCTGCCACCCAGCCGCCAGCCCTGAGCTGCCCTGACAGCCGCGGAAGCCCCAGTTCAAGGGAAACGAAAGGCGCAGCTGGGGAGGAAGGAGGCAGATTTGTTAGTGCACAACACTAACATCCTTTCTGGCGCGGTGCCGGAGGTGTCCTGTCACTCTGGATGTACCTCCGATATGCCCCGTCACCTGGGAAAGGACATGAGTCTGGGACAGGGCCTGGGATTTGTTGTCCTAAAAGTCCTGTGTGACAGCCCCAGAAAGATCAGTGCAGGCGCTAACGCCTGGCCTTCTGCCCTCTCCTCTCCCCTCCCCTCTGCTCTCAGGGCAAGTCGTTCATCAAAGATGCCTTGAAGTGCAAGGCCCACGCTCTGCGGCACAGGTTCGGCTGCATAAGCCGGAAGTGCCCGGCCATTAAGGAAATGGTGTCCCAGCTGCAGCGGGAATGCTACCTCAGGCACGGGCTGTGCGCCGCGGCGCAGGAGAACATCCGGGTGATGGTGGAGATGATCCACTTCAAGGACCTGCTGCTGCACGAGTGAGTACTGCCCGCAGGGCCCAGGAGGGCGGCCGCGATGGCGTCCAGCCTGAGGGCCTGCTGTCCGGGGCTGCATTCCCAAAAGCTGTCCCCCAGGAGCTCCTGTCCTGCTGGCTTTCAAAAAAAAAATGAGATTTTTTTTTCATCACCACTTTCCAAATCCTGGGCCCCAGAAACAATATTACTGTTACTCAAATGTTTAAAATCAGAAATTCTCATCTTCCCCTTAGCCAAGGAAGTCTCTGAATATCCCAAATAGCTGCAGGGTTGTCCTTGTGGGCAGCTGAGCGCAGAGACATCTGTTGGACCCGGCACTGTGCTGAGTGCTGTGTCTGAACCTCTCACCTGACCCTCGCAGCAGCTCCAAGACTTGGATGCTTTGACTGGCTTTTTACAGATGAGAAGACTGGGGTGAAGGCAAAACTGGGTCTGGGGACCAGGCAGCTTAACCGAGAGCAGTGCTTCCCCTGACCCCAAGGCTCTCCTTTCTTTGAAAAGCCCCTACCAGAGAAAATGCAAAACAAACATCAAAAACGGATCTGCTAAGTATTGGCATGCCACACCAGGAAAATGTGACAGTCCTTCTTGGAAGACTTGCAATTCACAGATAAGCCCAGAGACTCCTCATTCTTTAAAAATGGTTCCAGCTTTCAGATCCTAATTTTTGCAGAAACGTAAAAGCAAGTGGGTACACAGTTGTTCCTAATATGAGGGACGAGCCAATGGCTCCTTCCTCAGAACAGAAAGGAAGCCACCAGCTAACAGTCCAGGGCATATCACTGACAGTTTGAGGGCACCCTTGTTCTTCCCACAGGGTGGCATGGTGCCAAGTCAGTACATGAACTCTTGTTCCTCAGTTCATGCCATGACCTGCTCCCAGCTATGTCACTAAACAGGCTACCCCACCCTCACCCCCAGTATCACCTCAGTCATGGAGGACAACAACCCTCTGCCGTCACTACCCACTTGGTTATAAGGTTGCAGGTATCTTGCAACAGCCTCTGGATCATAAGGTGTGTGGGGCATGGATGCGGGCAGCTCTGGCCAAAAGCGAGAGTACATTGCCTTTTCCTTGAATCACACCAACACCTCATACAACAGTTTCATTCTTCCAAATACGTCTAAGAGAGCAATAGTAATAACAGCATCAACAACAATGATAACCATCCTTTTTTCCTAATGTTCCAGGTTTTTGGCCAGGGTCTTTGTGTGAATTAACACATCTGTCTTTCCCAATCATGCTACAAGATAGAAATTACTGTCCCGTTTTATAGAAGAGGATAGTGAAGGCTGAACCTCACTCCGGGGTTTGAGTCCTCCTCTTCAATGTGGGGATTGGTGGTGTGCAGTCATCCCTGAGGGCCTGGAGCGTCCTCCTCAGATACACAAAGCCATAGGTGCTCAAGACCCTTATATAAAATGACATAGCTTTTGCATATAACCTGCACACATTTATTTATTTGTTAGTTTTTAATTTTCAAAATTGCTAGTGCATTGCAGTTACACGTAATAGTGGGGTTCATTTGACATATTCGTAAACACACAGAGCAAGTTTTCTCATTTCAATCCCAACCTGTATGCATTAATCATCTCTAGAGGACTTATAATACCGAATGTAACGTAAATGCTACGGAAATTGTTGTTGGCCTGTATTGGTCAGGAGATAATGTCTAGGGGAAAAAAATAGTCCGCACAAGTTCAGTACAGATACATTTTGTTTTCCAAATATTTTTGCTTCGTGGCTGGTTGTGTCAACAGATGCAGAGGGCATAGGTACCTGAAGCCAGTTGTCAGGAACTAGCCAGCTGTCAGAACCCAACCTCCTTGTTCCTGGCCTGTCCTCTCCTCACTATACCTGCAGAGGCCTCATGGTCACCAAATATAGTACAGTTCTTTGCTTTTCTCAAACCAATCCCCCTGTCTCACTCAGTGAGCTCTGTGAAACCCCTTTCCCTCCAGGTACCCTGAAAAAGATGCACGCCCCATGGCTGAGAAACTCCATAAGTCCATTTGCCCCAGCCCATCCCCCACTGTCACCCATGAGACAGCTTGTTGACTATGGGCCCGGGGTGCAGGTTTATAAGTCTACAATGTGTTGTTGAGTGTCTTCTTTGGGGGAGTGAAGTTTTGAGGGTTTTGCATGCTGTCCCCCTGAAACGGAAGGAGCTCAGTGGCTGTCTAGTGTCTCCTCATGGCGACCTGGCACGTGTTACCCCTCAGGCCTTTGCCCATTTGGCCTGCTCTAGAAAAGCAGAAGGCCTGCTCTGATCAGGAGTGGCTATGTGGTCACACACAGGTCCTCTTGCTTCTGGCTAGGCCAGCCCCTCTGGGCAGTGAGTCCCTCCAAATACCAGCTCCCCCAAAGCCCCCATCAGTAGCCCTCATGAAGCCCAGCTGCACAGTGCCTCGCTACACAGCAAGCTCAATTGCCTGAGATTTTTAGCTTTTTATTTTTTTTGCCATCTTAACTGATTCAAGAAGGCCCTTACAAATTGTGTGGCATTGGTCACAAATGAGAATGAGAACTGTATTTGATTAGCGAGGACATACAGTCACCCTAGAATTCTCAGCACTCCTCCTCGCCCCAGCCCTATTGATCCCAAAACAAGCACATTGCAGTTAGAGCAGCCATTTCCAACTCCCAGGGCCCTCTGCTCCCTGCCTCCTCCTCCCGCCCATCTTTCTCCTGGTCATCTGCCTCCCCCTAGCTGCGGGCAGCCTGCTCTGGCCTGCACACAGCCTGTCACTGGGTGCTGGCAGCCAGTGATGGTTCAGAGCCTCCCGGCACATCCCCCTCCAAGTATTTTTTTTAGACTGTTAGCCTTGCTGACACCCAGTCAAGAGAGCTGGGCTTTGTCATTAGACACGGCTTGTCCTACAGCCTGAGAAGGCACTGTGCCAGCTCCAAAGGCTTAGATGAACTCACTTCAGCACACACACCCCTCCGCTCGGCCACAGCCTCCCGGGAGAGAGCCAAGGGCTGAGGAGAGCGCGGGCTAGACCTGCCTCCTGGGGTCCATGTCCTCCTTGGGGTTCTGCAGGCAAGTCTCTGGCAGATAGAGCACACCAGGGAGGGAGGCCGGGGCAGGCTGCACATTCCCAAGACAGCCTCCCCCAGCTTGGGGCAAAGAAGCCTGAGGGAGGGAATCCACCTAAACCCCAAAGACAGACACAGCCCCTGCTATGTGCACCTGGGCCCAGGGTGACAGGTGCTAGGACCCTGTGGCTGCTTTAGCAGAGATACTTAGTGAACTTGAGGAACCAGAGCCACTTTTCAAGGCAGAGGAGTCAAACATGCATTGAGCGCTTTCTGCCGCATGCAGGCCTTCCACGAGGTAGCCAAGGAGGCAGTGTCTTGCTGGCACTGGCACTGGAAGTGCCCAGCAGCCAGGCACAGATGATGCCAACGGCATCCAGGAGAACATAGAAGGCAACTTGAACTCCACCAGCCAGAACACTCCTCTCTGCTATCAGCCGGCCCGAGGCCTTCCTGCCCTCTTAGCCACCTTCTCCCTCTTATCAGTCGATATCCACAAAGCGAGGACAGTTTACCCAATCACAACTGGAGGACTAATTAATCAAGCAGCAGTCAACACCGCACACGTCTTAAGACAGCCACAGTGCGTTGCACAGAAAGATCACAGGCTCTTCCACAGCCCTCCAGGCCAGGCTTGTTATAACCACCCCATGTTCCCAGTAACTTCCCTGGTCAAGGAGACATCCGAGGCTGTGATGCTCATGATCAGATGCATCCAGGACCTTGGCTAGCTAAGGGCTACTTCAAAATGTTGGTCAGTGGGGCTGGGGTTGTGGCTCAGCAGTAGAACACTCTCCTAGCGTGGGCAAGGCCCTGGGTTCAATCCTTAGCACCCCATAAAAAGTAAATAAATAAAACAAAGGTATTGTGTTCAACTACAACTAAAAAATAAATATTAAAAAAAAAATGTTGGTCAGTGGGCTGTGGGCCTACCGCATGGTGGAGCCCTTGCCAGGCATACATGAGGCCCTGGGTTCAATCCCCAGCACCAGGAAGGAAGGAAGGGGTTCACCCCGATGAAGCATTCCATAGCCACCCCACCTGGGGAGTTCTGAGAGGCCAGCGAGAGTAGGACAGGCTGAGCAGCTGGGCCCATGCACGTCAAGGCAGGCCTGCCCCGCCGTCTGCATGCACCCTCAGCCCTGGGGGAGCAGTCTCCCTGAAGGGCATCCAGAGTGAGCCAAGCAACAGGCTGTGGCTCCTTCCAAACCAGGAGGCCTGACCACTGGCCCTCACCCCAATCCTGGGGAAGCCCAGACAGAAAGAATGAGGATGGTCAGATCACATACACACACCCCTACACCTGTGACGCAGAGGGACAGCTGCATGGGAAATGATGCTGCAGGCAGGTGTCTTCCCCAAGCCCCACCACCCAGTCCACAGTCTTCCTGGTGCAGAGGGCAGTGCACCCAGTAACCCCTGAGAACACCCTTCCTCATGAGCCTAAGCCAGCAGCAGACAGGTGTGGGGAGGACTTTCGGGAGGGGGCCCTAGAGGAAGGTCCCTGGTGCAAAGCAGTTGGCCTCATTGTCGCCACAATGCTGGGGCTCTTGGAAGCCATCAGAGCCCCTCTCTGAACCCTGAACTTCGTGGCTCCTCCTCTGCTGACTGAGGCCCTCCCCGCTTGCCCAAGGCTGTTGCACTGACCCCAGGTTCTGGCATCAGTCATCAGCCCCCCTCCTGCAGTCTGCCTTTATTCCAGTGCCTGGGCCCTCAGCTTTTATCCCAAGCACCTGCCATTGTCGCTGCCCTTTGTCCTGCTTGGGCTCCCTCTCCACAGCGACTCAGGGGTGAGAGTCCTTGCCTGCATGGAGCCTGGTCCACAGGGCTGCCCAGGAAAGACCCAGAGGCTGGTGCTCCATAGAGGGGCTCCAAGTGGTTCCAGGAAGGGCCTCCAGTACTGGCCCCTCCCCTTTCCTGACCTGATCACAGCTCTCAGAGCCTCTTTGGGACTCCGTCCATCCTCAGTGTCTCTCTCTGCTCTCCACCTCCAGACCCTACGTGGACCTGGTGAACCTGCTGCTTACCTGCGGGGAGGAGGTGAAGGAGGCTGTCACCCACAGTGTCCAGGCCCAGTGTGAACAGAACTTGGGAGGGCTGTGCTCCATCCTGAGTTTCTGCACCTCAGCCATCCAGAGGCCCCCCACGGCATCCCCTGAGCACCAGCTCCAAGGGGACAGAGCCAGGCTCTCCAGGATCCACCGCGGGGAAGCCAGCCTGCACTTCTCAGAGCCCAGCAGCAGGGAGGCTGTCAGAGGCTCCAGGGGCGAGCGAGGCAGCAGGAGCCACCCACATGCCCAGGCCCGGGGCCGAGCGGGGAGCCAGGGGACCCAGGGACCTTCTGGAAGCAGCGAGTGGGAGGACGAACAGTCTGAGTACTCTGACATCCGGAGGTGAAATCAAAGACCAGCCATGAAATCTTTCCTCCACGCCGTCCATTTTCTTATCTATGGACATTCCAAAACATTTGCCATTAAAGAGGGGGGATGTCACACGCAGGATTTTGTGGGATTGTGGACTTCATGACGGTGTGTGAACAGGTGAGATGGAGGCTCCTGGGGCAGCGGGGTCTCAGCGGGCCTGGTGAGCTGGGCACCTGCATGTGCTCAAGGGCATCCCGCGACCTCCTTGTATCTCTGTCTTCTTCCCATAGTGGGCCAGTGAGTGGTGGGCTGCCGTGTACCCTGCTCTGGGGGAGGTGAATACCCACCTGCGCTGGGCCAAGCACGGGGGCTAGACCCTGCAGCCTCTGGCACTGTGGGAGGGCAAGGCGGGGCCAGAGGGGAGAGAGGATGTCCCCGGAGGCACAGGGGCTGGTGCACAGGAGCCGCACAGTGCTCTGCGGAACCCGAATTCAGTTTCCTGCATGGGGCCTCTTGGTTCAGAGCTGCTTGAGGGAGCGAGGGCAGAGTCATTTCCATGTGTGATTTCTGAGCCATTGTTCTGCCCGGGGGACACAGTCCGAGGGAGTGACCCCTGTGTGTTTATACTTTAACCACTGCTTCCAATCTCGATTTCACTTTTTTTATTTATCCAGTTACATCTATATATCTGTTGTCTAAATAAATGCCTTTCAAACAAAGCAACTGGTTCATTAAAACCAGCTCAAAGTGGGAGGAAAAACAGCCCCGGCCCACCCTTTGGGGCCCAATTTTTTAAAGTGCAATTTTTAAAAGAATCCAACAGCCCAACAGCACTGTGCCTGGCCTGGGCTCACATTCACCTGGGACAGACCTCATACCTGGAGGGAAACGCACACAGGGAGGCCATCAGGCAGCTCACCTTGACCCATCGCCAGGTCCCAGCAAGCCCTATACCCACCACCCTGCGAGGCCGAGCAGGAAACCTGGCTTCCCCATGCTGGAGGGGAAAAAAGGGGAGAAGAGAAGGAGATTGCTGAGGCCACCCATCGAGAGGCCCACCAGTGGTGCCCACCTGCAATCCCAGCAGCTCAGGAGGCTGAGACAGGAGGATCACATGTTTGAAGCCAGCCTTAGCAACTTAGCAAGACTGTGAGCAACCTAGCAAGACCCTTCTCAAAATAAAAAATAAAAAGGGCTGGGGATGTGGCTCAGCGGTTAAATACCCCTGGGTTCAATCCCTGCTACCAAAAAAAGAAAAAAGGCGGCTAACCTTCAGCATGAGTGGAGGTGAGGCTGGAAACCTCCACAGGGCAGATCTTATTTGGAAAGTGAGCGATAAGGAGGGGAGTCAAGCGGACAGAGGGCAGAGAGGAGAAATGGACTCACTGAGGAAGGGAAGGATTGTGCCAGGAGGGAAGTCCATGGGGGGGCGGGGGGTGGTTCTTGCAGTTTTCAGCTCATCTCTTTGATAGGCATTTCTCCCCAACAGGCTGTCAAGTTAAAGCCCAACCCTCTCATAGCCGTACTCAAATAGGAGCCAGTTTGGAAGGCCTGGCCAGGCTTCCTGGGTCTTTCCAAAGCAGGGGTCAGCAGACCTTTTGTGTAAAGGGTCAGAGAGGAAATACAGTCTTTTCAGCTTGTCGGCCGAGCTGTCTCTCTGCAGCTGGTCAACCCTGCGGTGAGAGCTGGAAGCAGCCCAGACAGAGACCAGTGGGCTTGGCCCTGTTCCAGGAAGGTTTTGTTGAACAGGCCCCCAGCTGGACTTGGCTCAGTTTGTTGATCTCTGTTCTAGGGAGTGGCCCAGAGGGTCTGCATCTCCCCTGATCTCTCCACTAGCTCGGTCTCCCTCGCAGTCATCGGAGGCCAGAGATGAGCTCAATTTACCTACATGTCAGTGATTTATTTATTCTAGGGAATATCTTTGCTCCAAACACAGCTGGTCTTTATAGGCCCCAAACCCAATCTCGCAAGGTCCACGTGGTACAGAAATCATTTGGGGGTGGAGGTGGGGTGACCTGCTGGGAGAAGCACCCAGAAGACCTGGGGTGCAGAGCGCAGAGGGTTGGTGCATTTAATCCAGTTCAACCCTCGAAGGGAGGGAGGAGGCACTGAATGTCGCTCCGCCATGAGAACAGGCGTAAACCATGGTGACAGCGTGCCCCGGCCACCACAGCAGGCTGGCATTTCTTTCCAGCACTCAGGAGCTAACCAAATACCCCCTGCCACGGTGGTGTGTGAACGTCTGTGGGTCTGCCTACTGATGTCCCCTTGGTTGCTTCTATTGTAAATATTTGTCACTTGTATTTATTACCTCTATGCTTCCCCCAAGGCCTGACGTGGCTCGCCATGCTCATTCGAACCCCCTGACGGGTGGCGGTGGGGTGTTGTTCATGCCACAGCTTGGTTGGTTTTTTTCCTTCAAGAGTTAGGGGACTGTCATTCCCTCTGACTCGCCCGGGGACAGGCAGCATGAAGCGGCACTGGCGGCTGCAGTCGTCCTGCTCCTGGCTGTCCATAGGCAGTGTGCGTCCAGGGAACATCCACACCACCTAAAGTGGGGGGAGAGCAGTCGCTGAAAACAGCCGCGCCCCTCGCTCCGTGCTCCGTACAAATTCACTCTTGAGCCTTCCTTTGAGGAAGGATGTGGATCTCCAAATACAGATGCCGTGTTTATTTTGAGCTCCGCATCTTAACAACATGATCTGAACACCTCTCCTCTGTATCAATAAATAGCCCTGTTATTCCCAAATGGAGGGGCCCGGAGAGTGAAAGGCTGACACCAAAACTAAATAAATAGAAAACATCAGCCCAGCACCCGCAGTCACACTTTGACACACACACACAGGCAGAGATTTAAACTCGAGCCCAGTAAAAGGCGTCACCAACCCAACACGGAAAAACAATGCTTGCCGAAGTCACTTCCTAAGGAAGAGCAGCCCCTACTGATCTCAGAAGTGGCACCACGTGGGCTGGCTAAGTCAGAAGGTCTATCTGTGTGGGTCTAGGCAGCAGGTTCTGTACGTTGTCACACTGCATTATTTTCCTTCAAGGATCAATAAAGGTTTTAAATAAATGGCTTTCACTGGAGCAGTGTCATTGACCTAAGGGGTGGGGGGGTCTGACATCTAGTACAAAGGGGGACAGCTATGGGCAGGTGGGCTCTTGACAACTGTGGGAGGTGAAGAGGACTTCTCCTCCTTCAGGGGGCTCTGACCAAGCCATGCCCGAGCCACCCAAAGAGGAGAATGCTGCCCCTTCTTCCAGACTGACCCTGCAGCAGGCACCATGCGCTTCACAGTGGGTGGACGCTGGCACGCTCTGGGAGCTCACCGCCTCCTGCAGACCCTTCCCCACCCTGCAGGATGGAGCTGGAGCCCGGTTCTCTGCGTGTATGTCACCCCGGGAGCACCCAGTGGGCACCACAGCAGGCAGTTGGCACGCATTACCTCATCCTGACTCTGCCCCACAAATAGTAGGTGTGGTCCTCATCTCTCAGGTGAAAAACCCAGATATGGCCTTGTCCCTCACCCCACGGCTGAGGAGTTGGGAGCATGAACTCAAACCTGGGAGGTGACCCCTCAGCCTGCATGTTTCCCTCCTCCCCAGGCCTCCACCCACAGTTTATTTCTAATTTAAGCCTATTAGTATCAGTCCTACTTCATCCGAGGCTTAGGGAAAGAATAATCATATTTATAGCACCAACCTCCAAGGAGCTTAGAGAGAAAGATCACTGCCCTCACCTTTCCTCCCAGCAGAGAGTGAAATTCCCGTTAAAACAAGGGAGAGCAGGAGAACGGGGCACGGATGGCTTGTCTTGGCTTGGGTTAGTCCCCAAAGAGGAAAACATCCGGGGAGCCTCTGGCTTTGGGGAACACACAGTAGGAGCTGTTTCCATCAGACTTGCCAGTCCCCGTTCTCATCCTGACAGCTGCAGACTCTTAGGGCTCTGGAAGTGACCCCCTGCTCTGTTGGGTGCTTAACGATGTTATTTCCAAACCCCATTTTACAGATACAGAAACTGAGGTTCGAATACATCTTATTCTGCCTGCCACCGGCCACAAGGCTGGCACGCTCAAGCAGTGTGGACCACACACCCACCCCCATGCCAATTCTGCTTCATCCGCCTGGCCCTCTCTCCCAGGTGTGAAGTCGCCAAACACGACCAAGCCAGCTCAAGAATACAGCTCCCCCCACCCCAGAGCCCTCAGGATTGGTCCAACCCAATGGCTTGGGATTATTAGGCCGTGGGAGGGAGGAGGCAGAAGGTTTCCAAATGTGCTTGCCTTTAAGCAGTTTCCAAAGGGAGCTGGAGCCGCAACGCCCCAAAATCTGGAGACAGAAATCTGAATTTGTTCTAAAGTCAACAAAAAAAAGAAAACCCCCTGCTGAGGAGGGGACAAGCCTTGGCCAGAAAACAGGTTTCATGTGAATTATTTTTTGTGGGTGGAGAAGAGAAGAAAGAAGCCTTGGTCTAGTAGTCACGCGCTCCTGCTTCATCAGCAGTTCCGCTTTTACCACTCCCCAAAAAGAAAAAAAAGAGAATCCATCCACTCCCCAAAGAGAACAGAGGAGAAAGGTCACAAAGCCATGGAGCCCGTGGCCGGGAACCTGCCAAAGACAGAACAGAAGCCACCTGGCACCTGAGGACCCGCAGCCATGGCCACCATTGACTTCCAGGTCAGCCTGGGTGACTGGGGGAAACGAGACAAGTTCCGCTGAGGCCTTGTCAGGGGCAGACCAGGTGTTCACGGGAGCTGAAGAGAAAGATCGGCTGGCCCCATATCCCATTACCCAGCTTCTGGAAGTTTCTGTGGTTCTTAAGTTAAAGTGGAGTACCCACATAAAAAAAAGGAGCGGTGTGCTAGAGGACATGGGGACTGCCTGCTTGCCCTCCAAGGTATGAGTAGCTCTGGACCACAACCCCAAAGAGGGCTTTGTTGAGGAAGAATGATCCATCTCTGGAATTCTGTCCCAGTTGCCTGTCACTCTAACAAAACGACCCCCCCCCACCGAAGCTTTGTAGATGGAAAACTAGTTTACGTGGTTCATAGTTTTGTGGGTCAAGAATTAAGAAAGGGCTCAGTTGGGCGGTTAGACTCTTCCTGTGGCATTTGATGGGGCAACAGGCTCTGCAGGTCACTTCCAAGATGACCTCTTCAAGATGGCGCCTCAGTACTTCCTGCGGCCCCACCCCCGTCTCCATGTGGCGCCTCACCCCCAAAGCTCTGGGTGGTTTCTCTTCTTCCAGGGTGCCTGTCTTCCTCTGAGACAAGTTGGTAGATTTTGTAGCATATTCTTCAAATCCAAGCTAGGATCTTGATTTCACCCACAGTACTGTAACCACCACAGGGACCTAAGCTCCATAAGGACAGAGATGGTGTCACTTTCTGCACAGTTTTTTGCATCCCCAGCAACCCAGCCAGTGCGTGGTGTGAATGAATGAAGGAAAACTTGTCTAAAAGAACGCCAAGTCAAACTGGAAGAGTTTCGGTTCACTATAACTTCCGAGCAAATATATCCTTGTGCCTCATAAGAGCATCAACATGACCCAAAGTGGTAAGAGGATCTCAAAACTAAAAGTCACTGGGAAGCTGTCCTCTTGGAGTCAGCAGACATAGACAAGGGTGCTGACCTGGCCACCTACACCAGGTAAACCTCTTTGGGCATAAGAGAGAAATATAAATAAAAAATGGAAAAAATAAATAAATGAGGACTGTCCCAGAGATGCAAGAATAAAATGACTAAGCTGGGTGAAAAGTCACAGTCCATAGGAAACGCTGTGAAGCCTGCAAAATTCCATGCGAAGGGGGTTATGCTTATTATCGTGGTCATTTAGGGGTGGCTTTGGGCTCCAGCCGGGATCAGACAGGACGAGCTGCCTCCCTTTGCCATTCTGTCCTGTCGACTCTAGGGTGGGTTCCAAGGCTTTAAGGGACAGACAGAGGAGCCAGGCCTGCCCAGCGGGAATCTGCCGGCAGCAGGCCTGAGGTCAGAAGGCCCACCCAGGGGGACCAGCCCTTCTCCCAGGCAGCAGGCAGGTGCAGAACAGCCCCATGAGGCTCCCACCAGAGGAGTCTGTGTGGCCAGTTCAGCCAGGCAGGGACGAGACCCATGCCAGCAAGCTGAGGACCCTTCCTGAGGCTCTCTCCGAAAATCTCAACAAGGTCCTCACAGAAAAGCTGATTAACAAACCTCTTTGATGAGAAAAGGAAAGCAGAACTCAACACAGACAGGGAGGAGAGCGATCTGGGGCAGAGCCCACTAAACTCGGTGCCAAGGCTCCTCGGAGCTCGGCAGTTGGACAAGAGCTGGCCCGGAGAAGCCAAGGATGGGGACAGGGCTCCTTCCGGCTCCCGGGAGTGTCAAGAAGAGAATGGGGAGGAGGAGGAGGAGGAAGGTGACTCAGCTGGAATGGGGAGAAATGTGTTTTTAAAAAGCGAAACAGTGCAAGGGACAAAGGCCCCAAGTGGAGCCCAGGACGGGGTCCAGAGGCCCTCTCAGAGCAAGTGGGTGAATTCTCAAAAGGCCAGAGAGCTCGCTAGGGTTTCTGCACCAAGAACAACACCAGGAAAATGAAGGCAGCCTTCAGGGTTGCCAGGTCCACACTCCCACAAGGGCCCCCAAGCCCACAGCCCCAAGGGGCTGCGCCATTCCTGCCGCAGATCACACTTAGGCTCCGTAAAGCAGATGAGTTCTGCAACAGGTGCGGCAGGTAGAAGCCTAACCCACGTTCACCCCGCAGCCCAAGGGCAGGAACCGGGCTCCCTCTGCTCCACCTAATCCACAGAACTGTCAGGGGGCGAGGGGAGGAGAGGGAGACAGAAGGCGTCTCCTCCCCAGAAGTGGACACAGCCCATTCCCTCCCAACAGCCAAGGTCAGACGAACTTGAGTGCAAAAGTGTCATTTTGAAATATTCAATGGAGAGCAAGCATGATAAGGAAAGAGAGAGGAGGTTCAGAGAAGCCACTGCCTGCGGCACTCTGCGTCCCCCTTCTCCAGGGTCACTCAGTAAGCGCTGGGTTCACGGCTCATGCTGGAGTCCCATCTCCTCCCTTTGCATGGAACTCCAGGGACACTCCCACTTCCAAGGAGGCCAGCGTGGCCAGGAACACCATGACCGATGCAGAAGAGGATATGGGGAAGGGGGTCAGCCTGTCAAACCCTCATGCCCCACCTGTCCCAAAGGAGAGACAGGCTAGGAATCCTCCCCATGCCCTTGTGACAAAGATTTCCCTACATTCCAATAGAAAAAAAGGAGATCAGCATTGAATTTCTGAACCCCAAGCCCTGAGTCATCCAGTGCTTCTGAAAAGAGAAACCCTTGATGTGACCCTTCAAACGACCGCCAGCACCTGGCAGGAGGACTCTGACCCTCCCTGCTGCAGCTGTGCAGAGGAATGGGGCTGGCTGCCTGGGGGCCTCTTCCAGTCAGCCTTGAACGAGCTGAGACTCCTTTACCAGCCTCTGTATTTTTGCACAGCACCCTTAGGCAGAGATGGAAGCAATCTCCAAACTCGTATTCTAGGCCTGGGGCCTCGGAAACTAGGT